CGTCACTGGAGCTGGGGGTGCCGGTTCAGAGGGTACTGAAGCTGGTGAGCGCGGAGCAGGCGATGCTGGAGCGGCTGGGTCTGAGGACCTTGGAATTGGTGGTACTGCTGACCCTGCCGCAGGAGGTGCTGTTGGAGCTGCTGGCCCTAGAGCTGGGAGTGGTGCTGGTACTTTGTCTGCTGGAGGTGCTGGAGCCGCTAGTCCCGGAGGTGCTCATTCTGGAGGTACTGGAGCTGCTGGGGCTGGAGGAGCTGCTGGACCTAGTGGTCCTCATGCTGGAGGTACTGGGGCTAGAGACCCTGGAGCTAGTGCTGTCGACCCTGGAGCTGGAGGTGTCAGTTTTGGGGGTGCTGCTACTGGAGGTACTGAGGCTGCAAACCCTGGCGCTGGAGGTGCCGGTTCTGGGGGTGCTACTGCTGGTGGCGCTGGAGCCGGAGGTGCTGCCGCTGGAGGTTCTAGGGCTGCTGGAGGAGCTGGAGTTACTGGTGCTGGTGGCACTTCTGCGCAGCGGCTGTTCTTCTCTCCGCTGTCACCGTCGTCTCTGCCGCCGTCTGGCTCCGTGCTTCGCCAGGTTCTTAGCCTCCCGCTTTCTACTGGTCTTCGCTTACAGCCTGGTTCACAACTGCCTGCTCCTTCTCCTTACACTGAGCAGACAGGAGGTCCTGCTGAGCGTCGTGAGCCTGCGTCTCATCCTGTCTCGCCTGTTCGCACTGTTCGCACTGGTCGTCGTGTTCCTCGTGAGCGTCCGCCGGCTGTCCCCGGCACGCACCTCATGGCCCTTCGTCCTTCCTCTGCTCCGCAGCGTGTTCCCCTGCCGTCCCCTCCTGCGTCTTCTCTGCCTGACGTTCCAGACCCTGAGTCTGACCGCGCTCGTGCTGCTCACCCTACTGTCACGCGTCTGCTTGCCACTGTTGTCACTGACCCTTCGTTTGAGTCCACTGCTGTGTCTGCATTAGTCCCTGAGCTTGTTGACTTTGCTGCTGCCTGTCGTCTAGACTACGCTGCTAGTCTTGTTGCTGAGTCTGAGTCTGTCTGTCCTCCGTCCGTCGGGGGTGAGTGTGCTCTTGGCACGGACGTCCTTGACGACAGGCAGGAGGACTTTGAGTGTCTTGCAGCCGCTGCGCCTCATCTCGTGGCCATGCTGCTTGCCCCTGAGGGAGACCCGGATGCACCAGACATCCTGACCCCGCGCTCTTACGCTGAGGCGATCGCGAGTGAGTACTCCTCTCAGTGGCAGGCAGCCATGGACGCAGAGATGGCATCCTAGAAGTCCACAGGCACTTACGTCGATGAGGTTCCCCCTCTTGGGGCGAACATCGTCGATGGCATGTGGATTTTCAGGGTGATGCGGCCGCCGGGTTCTCCACCTGTCTTCAAGGCTCGTTACGTTGCTAGAGGCTTCAGTCAGCGACAGGGAGTTGACTTCTTCCAAACCTTCTCCCCCACCCCGAAGGTGACCACTCTTCGGGTGCTGCTGCACGTTGCTGCTCAGCGTGACTACGAGCTTCACTCTCTGGACTTCAGCACAGCCTTCTTACAGGGCAGCCTGCACGAGGAGATCTGGCTGCGCCGCCCACCTGGCTTCACTGGGTCGTTTCCTCCTGGTACCCAGTGGAGCCTCCGGCGGCCAGTCTACGGTCTCCGCCAGGCACCTCGTGAGTGGCACAACACACTGAGGACTACACTTGCGGCTCTTGGGTTTGCTCCTTCGACAGCTGACCCGTCGTTGTTTCTGCACACCGACACTTCGCTGCCGCCGTTCTACATCCTCGTGTACGCCGACGACTTGGTCTTTGCCACTGTTGACACTGAGGCTCTCGCCCTGGTGAAGTCGGAGCTGCAGAAGAGACACACGTGCACAGACCTGGGTGAGCTGCACAGTTACCTTGGCTTGCAGATCACCCGGGACCGAGCACGTCGCACCATCACTCTGACCCAGTCACACATGGTGCAGCAGGTCCTTCAGCGCTTCGGCTTCACCTGGTCCTCGCCACAGTCCACTCCTCTGGCTACAGGTCACTCGCTCTCAGCTCCACCTTCGGACGAGTCCGTAGAGCCGAGTGGTCCTTACCCAGAGCTAGTGGGCTGCCTCATGTACCTGATGACCTTGCGTACCCTCTTGGCCTTCTGGCACGCTACGTGGCTCCTGGTCGGCACCGAAAGGTGCACATGGATGCTGCGAAGAGGGTACTGCGCTACTTGTGCAGTACATCGGGCATGGGGCTCGTGCTTGGAGGGCGGAGTGAGGTTGTCCTCACTGGGCACTCAGACGCTTCTTGGGTCGACGACCTGGCTACGCAGCGGTCGTCACAGGGTTATACCTTCAGCCTTGGCTCCGGCTCTGTTTCTTGGCGGTCTACTCGCTCGTCTTCTGTTCTCGGCTCCAGTTGTGAGGCTGAGATCTACGCCATAGCCATGGCTGCACAGGAGTTACGCTGGCTCACCTACCTGCTGACCGACTTGGGAGAGAGGCCTCGTTCTCCTCCAGTGCTGTACGTCGACAACAAGGCCGCCATTGCCTTGTGTCAGGAGCACAGACTGGAGCACAGAACGAAGCACATCGCTCTACGTTACTTCCTGGCTCGAGAGTTGCAGCAGCGTGGTCAGCTTCGTCTTGCACACGTGGCCACTCGGGCCAACACTGCTGATATATTCACCAAGGCATTTCCGTCTGGTGATCATCAACGTTTTTGTTCTTTGTTAGGCCTTGTGCCTACGTTTCCGCACTTGCTGTAGACTTTGCTTGTACTGTGATCTATATATATACATGCATGCTTGCTCTTGCTAGGTAGTGATCACTGTGCTGTTATTGTTGCATATATACCTCTGCATGTGAACTGGCCTTGTGGCCCTTTGCTTGTGCTCAGTGTGTGTGGTGACGTTGTGATCCACCCTGAGCTTGCTTTGCTTTTCTTGACTGGTCTTGTGACCCCTTGCTCTCCCCCACTTTGCCTATGGGGTTGTGTCAAACATTATATATGCATTTGTCAGAACTAGAGGCTTAGCTTAGGAACCATACTTGGACTTAGGAACAAGGCTTAGGAGATGGTATCGAGAGGTTTGGCACAAGGAAGGGGTTTGCACTAGAAAGAGTGGTACAAGATATAGGCAAGGCAAAGGGTACACCACCAGCAGTTGATATAACTAACCTAATACACTAGTAAGCTGTAGGCAGGTATAAGATATGCAATATAAATTAACACACCCCCGTAACTGCCTACGGCTATAGCTAGTGGTGTCTGGTAGCAGGTCGCCTGAAGAGCAGTTGCTGTAGCTGGGATACGCACAGAAACAGCGGTGGCTGATCGGCAGCACCTCTGACTGCCAGAACGGAGGGCGGAGGGCTAATTTGGAGGGCGTAGGCTGCCGGTGTTACACACCAACGGTTGGATAGGAGGAGGAAGCCGGTGGTGTACATGAGGCGGATGAGAGGAGGAGGAAAGGAGGAGGAAGACGCAGGTTGGAGGAGAGGAGAGGAGAGAGGAGGAGAATAGGAAGTGCAGCGGAAGGAGGAGGAGAAGGGGGGGGCGGCTGCCTTCAAATACCCGCCACCCCCACACCCTCTTCCCCCCCCCCAAATGCGGCACGCACTGCAGATGCACGAGCAGCGATGAGGAGGAGGATTAGGGAGGGGCGGGAGGGTTCAAGGGGGCTTAAGCACCCCCGTAGCCGCGGGCGCGAGCCCCGCCACCTCCCCCCCGCAACGTCCATCGTAGAAGAGAGCGGCGGCAAGTGCGGAGGCGGGGAGCGGGGTGGCGATGGCGGGGGCGCTGGCGGCCGCTGCTTGCGCTGGCGCTCGCGACCGGCGCTGGCGCATGTCGCTGGCGCTGGGGACCGGCGCTGGCGCTGGCGCTGGCGCTCGCGACAGTCGCTGACGCTGGCGCACATCGCTGGCGTCCGCGACGGTCGGAGGCGCACGTGCTGGCGTCCGCGACCAGCGGAGGGGCGACACGACAGCGCGCGGGACGGGGCGACCGGCACGTGGGGCGGGTAGCGCGGGGAGAGCAGTTCGGGGCATGCAACGGGCGAGCGCCTCGAAGGGCGCGGCGACGGTCGCCATGGCAACGATGGCAGCAATGGCGAATGAAAAATAACAAGGTCCTTAGAAGGACCCAGCTCTTAATACCATATCAGAACTAGAGGCTTAGCTTAGGAACCATACTTGGACTTAGGAACAAGGCTTAGGAGATGGTATCGAGAGGTTTGGCACAAGGAAGGGGTTTGCACTAGAAAGAGTGGTACAAGATATAGGCAAGGCAAAGGGTACACCACCAGCAGTTGATATAACTAACCTAATACACTAGTAAGCTGTAGGCAGGTAGCTATATAAATTAACAGCATTCTATATGTGTAGGCTGTAGTGGGGTAGCTGATATGGGGTATAGCCCCTTTAGGGTTTCATACTTGTACCCAACTTTCTACGTTCATTTATTCCTGGCTGTAGTTTCTAACACACACTGCCCATAAGGGTTCTTGAAAAAGCTACACTGCCAATCGTGAGTAGGCCAAATCCAAACCTGAGCCCTGGTGGTATGTTCGGGTGATTACGTGTATTTGACATGTCTTGAAAAAAGAGCATATGGTAAGATTAGACCCCATGCCTATTGCATCTACACCCAGTTGATAGGACCCTGGGTCTATTACCCATGTAAGTACGGCTTAGGAGCCATGGCAAGGGTAGGAACGAGAGTATCGAGAGAGTTGAGCAAGCCAAAAAAGAGGTGTTTCACTATAGGAGTGAAGTACAAATAGAGGAGAAGCAAGGTATGCCACCAATAGTCAAATGTAATACTACACTACAGCTAGAACTACATGCAATTATAACAATATAATTATGACAATATGCAAGGGATTACGGTAGGTTTGTTAGGCAGGCACCTATGGTGAACAACGCAGACCCTCGACACCCTCAAACCAAACATACCCAAAGGAACTTAAAATACGGTTGTGCTCTCTACGAGGCCAGCCTGTGAGCTGGATGGATGTACCATTAAGGTACTTCAGCAGGATCGATGTGTGTTGGAGTGAAAGCTGGGCGAGCTGGACGGATCCTTCCCAGCAGCCACCTGGCAACACACGGAGCAGGCAGGAAGGAGTATGTTGCAACACCACCACAGCTCCCAACAATCAGTGCAAGCAACTGAAAATGGTGTACCAGGGTTGCAGCGGTTCAGTGTATGCGTGAAGTGAACTATTGGGGGGGAAGGTGAAAGATATGGTAGATAGTGCCGAAACAAAAGCAGTCACAAGGAATCAAACGGCTCCGATAGGGAGGCCTTTCAAGGGATGCAAGCGAGTGGTACCTGTGGGAAGAGATCGAGAGGAGTGGTGGAGGGCGGTTGAAAGAGGTGCGAGAAGCCAAGAGGAGATGGTGCTGGGGTCATGGGAGCGGCGAGGGGGGAGGGCAGCAGCGATGCAGCGTTGCCTGGCGACAGCAGCAATGCACTCGGTGCTGCCGGTTGGTGCGGCACTGCAGCACCTTGATGCTGTGCTGGCGGCATCGTTTGAGTCGCGTCTGCAGCGCCTGGCAGCGCTGCTTGAGATGTTGGTGGTGCTGGTGCAGTGGCAGAGTGGGAGGCTGTTGGGGAGAATGGCCAGGTGGCAGGGGCATGTGCGGCAGCAGTGGAGGCAGCGAGGACAGGGAAGAGCGAGGGGCCAAACGAGGGGGAGGAGAGGAGCATGGAGTGCTGGTGGTGGTGTGGCTGCTGCTGGTGCACGGACGCTACTGCTTGCTGCTGTGGGATGGCAGCACCGCCGCCTGCCACTGCTGTGCCGACACCACCACTGCTGTCTGCACCCAGGGGCGCATGGGCAACAGGGGGAGCAGGAGCAGCAGCAGTGGGGGTGGCGGCGGGGGTGGGGCCGGCAGCAGCGCCAGGGTTGGAGAGCTGGGTGGAGAGCAGGGAGGCGATGTAGGTGGCGAGGGCGCTCTTGAAGGCGGGGTCGCTCGTGATCTTCTCCGCTGTCTCCGCCACCAACCGGCTGTGCACCGCTGCTGACGCCAGTGCCGCCTCCATGCCCGCTGCAGGTGCTGCTGCTGCTGCTGGTGTCTCCGCTGGTGCAGGAGGCGCTGTTGGAACTGCCCCTGCTGGCGCCGCTGCCACTGCCGCTGCTGCTGATGCTGCTTCCGCATGAGAGGGTGCAGCAGAGCCAGCAGGTGTGGCGTGTGTTGTGTCAGAGCGTGCACCGCTGCCAGCAGCAGCAGCAGCAGCAGCGGTGGCAGGTGCAGCACCAGCACCACTACCAGCAGCAGCAGGGCGTTCAGGTGTGAAGTGGCCGACGATGCGGCGCCGGGGAATGTGAATGAGGGGCGGCGCCTCATCCCCTGCTGCTGCCACCCCACTTGAGGTGGGCCGAGCAGCAGACGGCGGGGTGGGCGGGCGGGCAAGGTGAGGAGAAGGGGCAGCAGCAGCCACGGGGGGGGAGAAGAGTGCAGCGGTGGATGCAGGGGGAGGGGCGGCAGAGGCAGGGAGGGGGGTGGGGAGCAGCAAGCCGTGGATGGGCGATGGCGTGGACGCTGCAGACGACGGCGCCGCAGCAGATGCGCCCACGGGGGCGGTAGCGGGCGCTGAGGGCGCAGAGAACGGGGCAGACGGGGAAGGCGGGGCGGAGGAAGGCGAGGGGGCAGGGGCGCCAGGCCACCACCAGGGGGCGCCTGTGGGGGTGGCAGCGGTGTTGGTGGGGGTGCTGGCAGGTGTGGGAGTGGCAGCTGCACCCCCAGGCGTGTGTGCTGCGGCTGTGAATGGCAGTGCTGATGGGTGCATGGGTGGTGCGGCAGCAGCAGATCCAGCAGCAGGAGAAGGAACGCCCGTTCCCGCGCCCATGGCACTCCCTCCGCCCGCCCCCCCTGCAGTGACCCCCAGGCCCAGCTGAGCGAGCTGGTGGGGCGGCAAGGTGGAGAGGTCGAGCGTGACGGTGGGCAGGGCAGCCGTGGCCGTCACAAACGGCGACGACGGTGTGCCCGCCAGCGTGGGCGTGGCAAGCGGTGACGCCAGCAGAGACGGGTCCGAGGGGAACGCTGCCGCCGCTGCAGCAGCAGCAGCAGCAGCAGCAGCGGAGGGTGCATGGGGAGTGGTGCTGCCTGGTGTCCCCGCCCCTGCTGTTGCTGCCCCTCCTAAGAGCCCCGACGGCGGGGGAAACACGTGGTGGGCAGGGAAGGCAGCGGGGGAGGAGGCGGAGGAGGGGGCGAAGAGCGAGGGCGAGGCGAGGGGGGCGTGGGAGCCCGAGGCAGACACGAGGGAGGCGGACGACGTGAGCATGGCCATGGCGGTGGCGTGCGGGGCGAGCGCGTGCGAGTGCGTGCCCTCGTAGGTGACGATGAGGAACGCCATGTCGTCCGCACACCGCTGCACCTGCTTGCGCACCGGGCACGCGGGCGCTGCCGTGCAGCGGTAGTAGGCGCGCGGACACGGGTTGCCCTTTGACACCTTCTGCCCGTACTTGCGCCACTGGCCCCCGTCCGATAGCTGACGGGGGGCGAGGGAGGTGGATGGGCGGGGGGGAGATATAAGGGGGAAGTGAGGAGAGTAGAGGAAGGAAAAGACAAAAGTACAGGAGAGGAGAGGAGAGGAGAGGAAGGGAGAGGAGAGGAGAGGAAGGGAGAGGAGAGGAGAGGAAGGGAGAGGAGAGGGAGGGGAGAGGAAGGGAGAGGAGAGGAAGGGAGAGGAGAGGAAGGGAGAGGAGAGGAAGGAGGATGCGGGAAGGGAGAGGCGGGGAGGGGACGCACGGTGGCGGCGTCGCAGCGGGCACGGATGGCGACACGGGCAGCCTTGCGGGCGGCTGCAGTCTCTGGCAGGAGGGGCAGGTGTGTGGGGATGAAGCGCAGCGCCTGCTGCTGCTGCCATGCCACCTGTTGCTGCTCTTGCTGTTGTCGCTGCTGTTGCAATTGCTGTTGTTGCTGCTGGTGGTACACAATCTGCTGCTGCTGCTGCTGCTGCTGTTCCTGCTGCTGTTGCTGTTGCTCTCGTTGCTGCTGCTGTTGCTGTTGCTGCTGCTGCTGCTCCTGCTGCTGTTGCTGCTGCTGCTGCTCCTGCTGCTGTTGCTGCTGCTGCTGCTGTTGCTGCTGCTGTTGCTGCTGCTGGGGGTGCAATACAATCTGTTGCTGCAGCTGAAGAGTCAGTGCAGGTGGTGCTTCAACCACATGCGTCCCTTGTGCTTGCATGTCTTGCTGCTCTTCCTCCACTGGCCCTGCCGCCACCTGCACCTGCATCTGCTGCCCTGCAGCAGCAGTCTTCTCTTCCATTGCCACTTCTTCTCTGCTACTTGCCGCCTTTGTCGTCACAGCTGCAATCTCTGTCACTTCAGCACCCTGCAGCGCCGCCACCATCACCCCATGCTGCGCTTCACCTTTCTGCTGCCCATCACTCACCCTTTCTCCCTCACCTTGCTGCTGGGACCTCAACTCGTCACCATGGCATGCAGGCAATGCAGCGGCAGCAGATGCATCAGCAGCAGAAGCAGCACCCGGAGGAGGAGGAGGAGGAGGAGGAGGAGGAGGAGGAGGAGGAGGAGGAGGAGGAGGAGGAGGAGGAGGAGGAGGAGGAGGAGGAGGAGGAGGAGGAGGAGGAGGCGGGGAAGCAAGGCCAGGGCTGCGGTGCTCGGTTCCCCGTGACTCACGAGCAGCACACGCCAGCACCTCTTGCTCTCCAGCCTCTGCCCCATCTGTGCTGCGCGCATCCTCCCTCGTCACTTCCTTCTGCGTCCCCCCCCTCGTGCCTTGCTCACCTGCTCCTACCCTGCCATCCGCACACTTCAAAGGGGGTGGAGCGGCAGCACAGCACAGCCGGCTTCGAGGCAACACTCGCTTCCCCCCACCATCACCACCACCAGCACTGCTGCCGCCCTCTCGGCTCCCTTGGCTGGCTGCGTCGTCTGCTCTCTCACCGGCCCGCACCACCTCCTGCTGCCTCTCATGTCCCCCCTCGCGCGCATGCTCTCTGCCCTCCTCGCCCACCCCCATGGCATCTGACGCGCCACCACCATTCGCCACAACACGCACATTCTCCTCGCTCCCTGCACTCGCCTCCCCTCGCTGCCTCTTGCACGGCCTCTCATCCCCCTTGCCCTTGCTCTGCCCACTCTCGCCCTGCTCTTCCCTCTCTCCTCTTCCCAGCCCCCTCTCCTCAACCCTCACTTCCTCCACCCCAGCCTCCCCCATTTCCAACTCCCCATCCTGCTCGCCCTTCGCACTGCCCCTCCTCCTCCTCCTGCTACCCACGCCCTCCCCGTGCTCCTCCCCGTGCTCCTCCCCGTGCTCCTCCCCGTGCTCCTCCTCGTGCTCCTCCCCTGCGCCCGCCCTGCCTCGAGCACCCACCACCCGCGACTCCACAGCACACTCATCGCGATTCTCCTCACTGCCTTCTCCCCCCTGCCCATCCCCCTGCCCATCACCCTGCCCATCCCCCTGCCCATCACCCTGCCCATCCCCCTGCCCATCACCCTGCCCATCCCCCTGCCCATCACCCTGCCCACTCCCCACCCCACCCACTGCACTGCCTGTCATCCTGCCCGCCCGCTCCCCACCTGCCCCACCTCCGCCCGTGCCACACACCGACTCCCCTTTCCACCTTGCGTCCTTCACCTCCCCCTCTCCCCTCCCTCTCTCCTCCGCTTCCCCTTCCCTGTCCCCTTCCCCTCCCCGACGTCGCCGCCGCCGCCGCTGCTGTCCCTCCTCCGCCCTCTCGCTCGTTGAATCGCTGCGGTCCATTCCCACGGATCTGACCGGACGGCCCACGCTGCAGCGCTGCTGGGAGGCAGAGTCGGGGGGGGAGAGCGACCCCCTGTGGCTGGGGGTGTGGGCGGACGGGCGGGGCTGCGCGCGCATGGGCGCAGGGGGCGTGTGGGAGCGCGCTGGCAGCAGGGGGGACGCGGGTCCCCCCCCCCCGCTGCCCCTGTCAGGGCCGGTGGGTGCGTGGGGATGGGGTGGGGAGGGCGGAGGCATCATGGGCGCGGGAGGCGGTGTGGCGGAGGAAGAGGGTGGCGCAGTGGGGAAGGGGGGGAAGGGGAAGGGGTTGGGGAGGGCGGGGAAGAGCGCGGACCAGCGCGACATGGCCTGATGGGGGGTGGGCGGGCGGGAGGGAGGGAGGGAGGGAGGAGGGGAGGGAGGAGGGGAGGGAGGAAGGGAAGCAAAGTTTGTGGTGGGTAAGAATGGGGGAGGAGGAAGAGGGGCGACTAGCAGCAACACACATGGTGATGGTGGGTGGGAGGTGTAAGGGGAGGGAGGGGGTGTGAACATGCCCTGAGACCACAACTCTCAGTCACACCTTCCCCTCGCCCCACCCGCCTCCCCGTCACCCACCCTCCACTCCACCCCATCGCATCGCCATCCCGCCTACCCGTGCCCCAACCTCCTCCTCGTCTCCCCTGCCGCTCACATTCCCATTGCCGCTCGCTCCCTCCCGGCCCCTGTGCGGGCGCGCACCTGGGCAGCAGCGGCGTGGTAGGGCAGCAGCGCCAGCATCTGCATCTGCTGCGCGCGCACCCACTCCGCACCCCCCTCGCCCGCCCCCCCTGCTCCGCCCGCCATCATCCGCGCCAGCACGTCTCCACTCAGCCCTGCCGCCCCCACTCCCCACCCCATCCTTGCCGCTGCCCCTTCCCCTGCCCCTTCCCCTGCCCCGGCTGAGCCTTCACCTGCGCTCGTTCCACCCCCACCTGCCCTCGCGCCCTCCCCTCCAACCGTGCCCGCTGCTGCACGCCCGCTGAGTGCGCCTGCCCCCGCCTTGCCCACATTCTCTGGTCTCCCAGGGGAGTCGTTCCCACCATGCGCGGAGAGCTGCAGCGCCACTATGGCGCGCAGAGACTCGTTCTCCTTGCTGAGGCGCGCGATCATGCCCCGCATGTCCGCCAGCTGGGGGATGGGGGCAGCACCGGGGGGAGGTTGCACCGGGAGGGGAGGCGTGATGCAGAGAGGACAGGGCGGAGAGTTGCAGAGGGGTGCGCAGCGTCGTATGCGGCCGTCCGCAGGATGAAATGCTGGAAATGGGGCAGCCTTCTCTTGCGAGGTAGCAGTAGCACTGGAGTGCGGTACGGTACGGTGCTGTAATGTGCAGTACACGGCATTACAGCACAATACGAAGCAGTGAAGTGAAGTTCACAGCATGTTTCTGACAACATCGAAGGGCTCAAAAGAGACTGCTAAGAGTGTTCGCGACCGGTTGGGAAATACGAAGAGGAGTTGGCGACCGACTTGCGGCGGCTGCTCACCTGCGACGCGACGGCTGCTCACCTGCGACGCGACGGCTGCTCACCTGCGACGCGACGGCTGCTCACCTGCGATGCGGCGGCTGTTCACCTGCGATGCGGCGGCTGCTCACCTGCGATGCGGCGGCTGCTCACCTGCGACATGACAGCATCGGCGGTAATTCCCTGACCGCCCGCCGCACCGCCTGCTGCAGCGGTGGACGTGGCGTCGCCACGAGGCACCGCTTGAGCATCGCCGGCAGCAGCGTCGACAGCAGAAACAACCTTTCGAGGCGACTCAGAAGCGGCGCGAGCATCGTCAGCAGCGGCCTCCGTCGGCCGCTGGCCGTGACTGTCCACCCGCACTGCAGCGTCACCGGCTTCCCGCTCTGCCCGCTCTGCCCGCTCTTCCCGCTCTTCCCGCTCTTCCCGCTCTTCCCGCTCTTCCCGCTCTGCCCGCTCTTCCCGCTCTGCCCGCTCTTCCCGCTCTGCCCGCTCTGCCTGCTCTGCCCGCTCTTCCCGCTCTTCCCGCTCTGCCCGCTCTGCCAGCTTCCCGGCTTCCCCTGAACCTTGCGTGTCCCGTTTGTCACCCGACACTTGCTTCGCTTCCCCCTCTAACGCCTGCGAAGCGATTGGCTCCTCTTCTGCTGATCCGTTCCCCTCTGACCCGTTTCTTCCCGACCCAGTTACATCTGCTGGCTGACGCCGCGATGCATCGCCTCCTTCCGCCATGGCTGCGGCCTGCGCCGTCCAGATGGGAGTCACTAAATTATTTCTCCCGACCGATCTAAAATTACGTGATTTACCGTGTCGTCTTTGTTACGCGGGACATTGTTAGGCGCGAGTGAACGAGATCGCCGAAGACGCACTCACGAAAAAAGATTTTGAGCCAACCGATAGGCTCATCAGCGTGAGCGCGATCGACAAAAATGTGCTTCGCTGAGATGCGGAAACTAGCGAGTAATGCGTCTCCACAATGGTTAGATGGCAGCAAGTCATATGAAACCTGCAAGCATACAAGGGATGTGGTAATGGCCTCCGCAAGTTACGCTCCGCTAAAACAGCTACAAGGGAGGGGGGCTCGCAGCGCGGCTGCAGGATGCTTCAACGATGACAAGGCATAGCCGTATGTTGTCCACGCAGAAGCACAGAGGGAGAAAGGAAAGCCAATTCTGCCTGCTCTACGCCGTCTTGAAAGCAGGACAAACCAAACCAACCAACAATTGTGACGAGGGAGGTGCGGTCGGGCACAGCGACACAAACACAAGCATGGCGACTGCGTGGCTCGGCGCGGGGAGACGAGGTCGTTGGGGGATGACGCGATGACCAGAGTCACCAGACCACTTAGCTTTCTTGGCCTGGAAACGCCGAACCACGCTTGTACGGCGACGACGACGTCTATCCAGCGGCTGTGACCTAGCCTCGGTTTTGAAAGTTTCTTGGTTTGGCACAATGATGAACCACCCATTCACACCTTCTGACAGAACGCTGACTGCAGAGGGGGTTGAATCGTCCATGCTGCGGCGGTGGTAGCGTCGCAGAAAAGCTTGCCTTCCGAAACCCTAGTCAACGACAACCTGGAGAGGCAAGATGGAAAAGGTAAAATTCTTCGTTAGCTGTTTGACGTGATCTGTACATGTTGACGCGGATCACTATGCTGTTGCAACGGAGTTGGACGCGGCTTTGTAGTGTGCAGAGTATTCTTTTGGGGATTCATTACGGTGGTGACTTATTTAGCGCGATCAATCCTTTGGGGTTGTCAACTTGGACTTGCCCTGGGGAACTGGTTAGGACGCGGGCAGTCGCGTCGATTTTGGTTATTGACTTGCCGCAGGTTCGTTTTTTGACAAAGTTTTTTAAAGGTAAAAAAAAAAGTTGCGGGTTTTCAGTGCGGTGTAGCAGATCGATATTGCACGACCGATGGCCGAACTTGATGCGAGTGTCCGCATCCGGCGAGGTGCCTTACGGCTGATGCCCACCCCATGCACGCGAATTTGCTCTGCACCGGATGGAAACGCTGCACCCGAGGTTTTTTCCCCAGCCTGTTGCACCCACGTTACAAGCGCGTCGCGTGGTTATGAACCAATAGTAACGAACAGACCGAAGTCAAACTGAAGAGACTGAAGTCAAAATGTCAACGGATAAGGTTACAGATCCTTTATAAGAGCACCTGTGAGTCCTTTTTAGCTAGCTGCGAATTGACGAAACTTATGCGAAATGCTCGATACAGCTTATACGCCCCCTTCACAAGGCAACCGGGAGGGGCTCAATCAGGCATCAGCTGTATCCCATCGTTGTCTTTTGCTGCCACTTGATTGGTCCTTCCTTCGTCCGTCACCCATACCAGGCCAGCCCAGCCCAGGTACTGTAGGACAACAGAAAAACGTTAACTCCGGAATGTAACCGTCAGAAACCGGTCGCGATTTGTGCGTGCTTACTACACGCGGTCAGTGTTAATTGAACTGTAATCTCTCAATACTGGTATCGGTCCAAGTGATCTCATTTCATACCATGAACACAGCTCATGGTTCTTTTGGACCACCAAATATCCACTTTCATTCACAACATCAGACACTGCTTTCACAAGGCTTATCTATACGTTCCTGAAAATAACTCTGATTTGATCGAGCACAGCAGCTATATGTGAGGTGAACACTGGTGGTTGAGAGAGCTTGAAGAGATGAAGTGCAGACACAAGCAGCATTTTTAACGATTGGCCTTGGCAACACGCTCAATCTCATCCTTCTTCTTGATGGCATAGCTGCAAGTAAAAAAAAATAAGGGGGGGGGGGGGGGGGGGGGGAGAGAAACATCTATAAATTCTGGGGGAGTGGGGGTGGGAGACCAGGAGCCAGCAAGGGAAAAAAATTAGGAAGGCTCTGGAGCTAACAATGCAGCATACAACGGCCGCAGGCACAGTCACGCGTGGTGCTAACGATGCTCAACGCATGCCATTGTAAGAGGGGGTGCAAACAGTAAGAGACCATTTTCCGCAACAAGGCACCAACATAGCGCACTCACTGGCTCACGTTACAGCACACAGCTGCACACGTGAACATGCCCGCCTCCTGCAGGCAACACCTGTTTGACGCTGCCCTAAAAAACTCAGACGACTCACCTGTTGGAGTGGCCCTTGACAGCATAGCAAACTTCGGAGTTGCACTTAAAGCTCTTCGCAGCATAGCACACTTAATTGAGCTACCTGTCGCTACCCTTAAAGCCCATGCGGGCGCCATGGTACACCTGTTAAAGCTGCCCTTGAAGCCTGGGTGGGCAGCATAACACACCTGTTGGGAGCTGCCCTTGGCGCCACAACGCATCAGTTGGAGCTGCCCTTAAAGCCCAGAAGGGCGCCTTACCTGTTGGAGCTGCCCTTAAAGCCCAGAAGGGCGCCTTACCTGTTGGAGCTGCCCTTGGCGGCGTTGATGAGCTCGTCCGCCAGGCACTCCGCGATCGTCTTCACGTTGCGGAACGACGCCTCGCGCGCGCCCGTCGTCAGCAGCGCGATGGCCTGCGCGCAGGAGAACGGGGGAAGGTGGGGACGGGGGAAGGGATGCGAGGTGGTTGGGGGGGAAGGGAGGAGGTTAGCCAGTGATGCACGAGACAAGAGGTGGCCGAGGATTTCTGAGAAGAAAAAGCGCGGTGCACTGCACAACATACTGGTGCTCGTGCGCGCGCGCTTAGGGTGGCGGCGGGTGGCGGATGGACGAGCAGAAAGCCCTCTCGCGCAGCTGCGGCCGCAAGCCATGGCCTGCTCGCCAGTAAGAAACCCGTTCACGGAACGTGAACGTCACGCCATCACGCGCGTCACGCCCGTCACGCCCGTCACCCTCGTCACCCCTGTCACCCCCGTCACGCCCTTCCCGCACACAATCCCACACACGCCCGTCACGCACGAATGTTGCACGCACGGTTGCGCGCAGGGGCGGCGCATACCTGGTTGACTCGTCGCAGCGGCGAGATGTCGACGGCCTGGCGGCGAATGACGCCCGCCGACCCGATCCTGGTGGCGTCCTCGCGCGGGCCGCTGTTGACGATGGCGTCGACGATGACCTGGATGGGGTTCTGGTCCGTGAGCAGGTGGATGATCTCCATCGCGTGCTGCACGATGCGCACCGCCATGAGCTTCTTGCCGTTGTTGCGGCCGTGCATCATCAGACTGTTCGTCAACCTGCGGATGGCACGCGGACGGGAAGCGGAAGGGATGGGGGACGGGGGACGGAGGAAGGGACAGGGGAAGGGGGAAGGGCGAAGGGCGAAGGGGGTAAGAACGAAAGGCAAGTCACGGCACCGCCATGAGATTCTTGCCGTTGTTGCGGCCGTGCATCATCAGAATGTTCGTCCGCCTGCTCCGCGCAGCACGCACGCGGGCGGGGCGGGGGAAGGGACGGGGGACGAGGGACGGGGGAGGAGGGACGGGGGACGAGGGACGAGGGACGGCGGACGAGGGACGGGGACGGGACAGGGACGACGGGGAAGAGGGAGGGGGGATTGGGGAAGGATGGATGGAGGAAGGTGGAAGGATGGATGGAGGAAGGTGGAAGTAAGGATGACGGGAACGACGGAAGGGGCAGAGGGCAGGAGAGTGTCGGCGACCAAGTGCCGTTGCTGTGCCATGGCGCGCGCTCTGTGTGGATCGCTAGGCGTCTGCGAATGACAACACACGGGGTTGGGACGGCGGGGCGCGTGGAAAAGGGACTTCGAGCGTCGGGCCGAACGACACCCAGCCCAGCCCTCTACCGTCGGGAGTTTTCTCATCGAAGTGCTCGTCAATCTCGCCTCATCACAGCCGTCGATGCGAACGACAAGGCAATCGGGCGGTGAAGCTTCGTCATAAGCAGGCAACAGCAGCACCCCCTCTCGTCGCCAGCGTTACTAGGTGTCGCTCGTACACTGTTGGATGAACGGACATGAATGATCGGGCAGTGCTCCTCACTCACCGCTCAATGATCGGGCAGTGCTCCTCACTCACCGCTCAATGATCGGGCAGTGCTCCTCACTCACCGCTCAATGATCGGGCAGTTCGCCTTGCGGAAACGCTTAGCGGAGTAACGGCCGGCAGTGTGCGGCACGGTGATGGCATGCTTGACGGCGATGTAGTCGGCCAGCGACAGGTCGTTAACCTGCGGGTTGAGGAGCAGGACCGGAGAAGGCGCGGGACAGACGGGAGGAGGGCAGAGCATGGAGGGAGAAGGGAACGTGACGGGGAGAGGGGAACATGACGGGGAGAGGAGAACATGACGGGGAGAGACGAGGCGCGCAGGGAGCACGAGACAGTGCGCGCGGATCGGCGCGCAGAGGAGGAAAAGCTGAACCACAATTCGAACACGACTAGCGGCAATGCCACGATGGACGTCTGTAGCGCGTAACCTGATTCTACCGGCCACGTGCTCAGATCGCACGATCCGCTTGTCCACCGCACGATCTAACGCTGATGCTGCTACCACGTTCTGATGCGCGCCCCGCGATCGCACCCCGCGGAGTGTGCACGCCGACTGGAGGGACGTGCATCTATCAAGCTCCGAACACGAGCCATGCCGAACAAGCGACGGTCGCACCACGAACCCTAAATGGCGGTTGTCCGTAACAACAGCTCAATTGCACGGAAAAGCTAAGACGGATCTAGCTATGAATGCGCAGCACTCGCCGGTTCCGGCATCTTGGCTGCCCAGTCGGTTTCCAGATCCTGCCCTCGCCGTCCGCCGAAAGACGCGCTGCTGTGCATTCTCAAA